GGTTTTGAAAGAATTTTGTGACCTTTAAAAGTTTCAGCAATTTTCTCAGCCTACAGAGGGACATGGAACTCTTAATACTTTCTTTTCTGTCAGTTTCTCATGATTGAAGGAAAGACAACTATAATTTAGCTTAACTATCAGAAAACACTGCAAACAAACAAAGAGTAATGAAAATAAATTTGTACTTTGACACAAAATATAAAGAAAACAGGACTCAATGTAGATAGCAATGTTAGTGGCTAGTGGAAATTTAGCAACCCATATAGCTGGCATACTAACATTTACATGTGTTGACAGCTATCGGATATTTAAATGCTGATGTTTGATACGAAACACATAGCATTTTTTGTTAAAAGCGTCATTTCATTAACTTACGTGTTGGATAAGTAGCAACATGTTTGTGAAGCTGATGTAAATGAAAAGCAAAGGCCGAAAGCATTTGTTCTCTGGGGTCTATGAATGTTTGTGCCAAAAACAGCCTATCCGCCAATTATCAAGATATTTTACTCTGGAACGAAGTGTTGGACCAACAAACCAGCCAACAATCACACAGCCACACCACGAGTGTAGCAAAAAAGATTTGGAGGAGCATTTGGATGGAACCAGCCTCCGTGTTGGAGTCTCCTCGACAAGGTCTGGAAGTAATCCACAGCTCTTCAGTGAGAAAAAAAGAAGGGAAATTATAAACTGACTAGCCCCAAATGTGTATCCCTTCCCTCTTTCATCTCAGTAAACCCTCTCTGGTGCACTTAAGATTTACATGAGATCTAAAGGAAATGAGAGCGATAAAATATACACAGGTATTAAAAGACAGAAGCCACACTGAAAACATAATGATTAAATAGTTGATAAGAAAAGATCAAGTCCAATAAATGAACTATGGACTTCCTTTTCTTTTTTAACAACAAAAAAGGAGGAAATGAAACACTAAGAAAAGGGGGATCTGTGAGGGATAATGGATCCTGAATGCGTAGACCTCCCCAGAGCTGGAGATTTGATTATCCTCCATCCATGCAGAATTTTTTCATCCTTCAACCCACATCTAAACCTCTTCGTCCCTCGATCCCCTGTATTTCTAGTGCCAGCATCTATCACTCCTACTTCCCTCCAAACCTGTTCTCTTACTCTGCCCCCTCTCGAGAAAAATGTTGATTAACAGAGGACACGATGACTGAATGCACTGTCACAGAGCAGTTTATGGAGATTCAGTCAGTCCATTGTTAGCTCTAAGTGCCTCATATATTTATATTTCTAAAGATTAAAGTTTAAGACTGGGGAAGGGGAAAAGCTGGGCAATAGACGAAGAAAGTAACTGCTGTAGTTAATCTCAAATTTCTTTACAGTAAATGTCTTCCTTCCTGCTGTTAACATCATATTTTGTTCTTTCAGCACACAGCTGATACATCAGATTGAGTCACAATGATCCAAGGTACCCAGATGTGCAGCAGATAAAGTGTGATACTGTCTCTATGTCCTAAATCAGAAACATCAGCCAGAAATGGACACATTGCTTTCAGCTATTGTGCTCCTTGCAATAGAGGAAACTGTTGCAGTGAACAAACATGGACACAACACCTCGTTCATGATGTCAGACAACAGTCTACCACGCTTGATGGATGGCTACTGATATCTACTGTATGCACATGTAGTCTGAACAGAGCCTGAGGTGTCCCTTGCCTCACAGGGGTTTTCCTTGGATTACAGCGCTCCCTAGTGGCTGCAGGTGCTCACAGTTACTGCTCACTCCTCAGTCACATCTGGATACATGCAGCACTTGCCGTTCAAAAAGCTACTCTGTGATACACACAACACCGTGAGATCAGTTTTGAAATAGAAATCTTCAACATGAAAAAAAATGCCACTGAAAAAGGAAATGAGGAATTCATGGCATCTAGGTTTATTCATTGGTGAGATGATGCTGGTTTGGCATATTTTTTAATTCGCTGGTTTAAATGTGAAAGCAATGTAAAATTACATTTTGTGTCTGAAAGATGCAGTACAAAGGGTAATGACAATAGTACTGTAGTAGTAATAATAGTAGTAGTAGTTCACCCAAATTATATTTTGTCACTTACCCAGTGCTATGTACACATTTCTGGTTTTCTCTTACCAGGTTTAGAGATAGTAGTCTCTGATATGTGTGCTGCCACCTCAACATAATAAAGGTGACTCAAAGCCTTTTGTCCTGGTTAAACGTATAAAAAATGCATAGCAAATAAAAAAAATGTCCCCATTAAATCCAAAGCACTGAACCTTCTTGTGCCTCAACCCTTAAGGGAATGATAACGCCACACTGTCCGAGGAACGGGACAGCACTGTGTGAAATTATGCCCCTCAGATGGACAGCGACATTTCTGTGGACAGTTAAGTGTAAGCCTGACATTTCAAACTCTACTGTAAGTAGTTTAAATGTGCCCTGTGGAGTTTGCTTGTAAACAACCAAAAGCTGCATTCACTGTTTCTCACTAAATGGTCTTATACTTGTATAGCACTTTTCTACGCATTGCAGCACAATCAAAGCGCTTTCGCACTGTTTGCCCATTCACACACAGTGATATCACCGGGAGAAACTGGGGGCTCAGTAACTTGTTCAAGGACACTTCTACACATTGACTGGAAAAGCCAGGAATTGAACCGTCAACTTTCCAATTAGAAGACAACCTGCTCTACATCCTAAGTCACAGCCGTCGGGAAAGCACAGCGTGTATCCTTGAGTTCTAACAAACATGTTGAATACACTTTTTTCCTCATAAAACATTTGCAGATTTGACTGATCTGAAGTATTGTAAATCTACATTGTTTACACCCATGTTTATCAGCTTGCACCCTTCTAATCATACCATACTTGCAAATACTCAATGCTGTGAGCACCAAAACTTGAACTGAACTAAATTCCTTTGTCTTCTCAGAAGAAATCTGAGAAACGGATATCTTGAAACCCAGACAAATAAAACCAAATATATCTAAATACTCCGAGGCATAAATGAGAAATGATTACTTGACATTTGGGTGAATTACCCCATCATGCATTATTTCCATCTAAGGGTGCAGACATACAAAAAGACAGTAGAGGGAAGCCAACACTCATGTATAAACCTCGCAGTCTGGGTCTGTGACATCTCACCAGGCTGTCTGTTGCCTGCAGCTTTTCATTCAAACCGAATTATACTGTGAAATAGGATTACGTGTCAAGCAATGCAATGATTGAACACAATTGTTGGAATCTGGCAGGACAGCAAAATAAAAGGGAAACAGAAACACACATTCCTATTTGTCATGTTGATGTGAGTCATCTGTGAAACAACATTAAGATAAGTCGATCCAGGGTGTCAAATGCTCTTTTTTTAAGTGAGCAAAAAATAGCAGCCTCGTGTCTGGTTGCTCCCCAGAGAGTATACAGACGGAGTTATGGCCCTATAATTATGTGCAGGAGTGAAAGTGTGTGTATGAATGAACGTGCTCCGTTTTAAAAAGCGTTTTATTATGGCTGCTGTTTCTTCAGATTGTGGGCCAGGGAGCGGATCTCCCTTTATAGGTTGCTGTTTCCTCTCCCAGAGAGCTCCCTGATACCCTGGGCAACTGAAGAGGCTGGCTCAAATTATACAGAGACACGTTTAGCGTCTGAAATAATCTAATAAAAAGAAAGAGAGAGAGAGAGAGTGAGAGAGAAAGAGAGAGAAAGATCAAGCAACCTCCCAAGTCGATGAGCTCATTCCCATCTTACACCAGCATCTTCTGCATCATAATGAGCAGAGAATCTGTAGGTGTGCACACAGTGAGATGGGTGCAAGAGAGCAGTCACCCTGATGACTTCCCTACAGAAAAACCCTTTGACGTTTCACCCATGCTGCATCAACAGCATCTATTCTGGTGACCCTTCAGCTGTGACCTTTCACCTTCAGGGGTCGGGTCCCCTCAGCATTAGGCTTGTCGAGCCAATTAACCCCAGAGCTGAGATCAGTTAATCCTTTTACAGCACAAGCAGATAACACCGCATAAATTATTAGGAGGAGCTGAAAAACCAACAGACCAAAAGGTTTAAAATGGATCTAAGACTAAATAACACTGATAGAAAAGGTCCTGATAACTTACAGGCCAGGTTTTCTTCTGTGCCGCCTGTCAGATAGATGAGAGCTGCAGAAAAAGAAGAGGGGATGGAAAGACAGAGGGAGATGGACGGAGCGGGTTAAGCTCATCTATGAGTCTAATTAAGCAGAAATGGAGCCATTGGGAGCCAGGGGACCTGCGTGGTGATATCTTGTATTTCAGTCCATTAACCTGCTCCTAATGAACTGTGTGTTATTGGAGAAAGTCTGCATTAATCACACCCCACTGAAGTGACGGTCATTGGTTCATTGGTGCTCACAGTTTACGTCGATCCTCTTCAGCGGGGCTCCGGATCACCGGCTGGCCTGTGGGGAGGACAAACAATCAGATTGTAACATGCATGATGTGACAGCGTGAATGAGGATGAGGCTTTGTGACAAATTCCTGGAGCTGCAAACCTCTTCCTTAATATCCTCAGTTACCATATGACACAGGAGTTCTTTCTGTTGTGTCAGGCACGGTGTGAAAACAGATGTAATCTTTCCTAGTCAATAATTTTCACCCACCCACGGTGATGGCAGACTCGCTGATGAGAAATGCCCACAAAGTTGTCTATGGATTACTGAGGCATTTTGCTGTGGGTTGGAAAACTGGTGTCATAAATGTTGGTAAGGGATTAGAAGATGGACAGAGGCTCTAATACATGCACAGTGGAACAGATGTTGATTGTTGTTCAGCTACTGGTTCTTTATTTGAAATGTTTCTTATTTGATTGTATTTATCGTGAACTGAGTGGGGGGATCAGAGAAAGTGGAGGGAGATGCTGGATAGAGAAACAGCTAAAAGAGGAGAGGGAGGGGGATGAAAACAGAAAGGGTGAGAGAGAGAAAAGAGATTTGTGGTGAGAAAAAAGGGGGAGAGGCACATTCACAGAGAGAGAGCGGGAGAGAGTAGAAATTGTTTAAACGTGTGTTCACTCTTGCCAGTCTCAGCATCGCTCAGTTTCTGCAGGAGGGTGCAGCTCCATCCCTCCAGGATCTCCACTGGCGCCGATCACCAGATATGATCTGCCCACTTCCCAGTCAACCCATTTCACCCTGAGCTGGGATCTCTCTTTTCTTGTGCGTGGATGATAACAGCCTACCTTATATCCATGGATTTCTTATACCACAACTAATCTGACTAAAACCCGGGATTGGTGAAAAAAGAAAAGACACAAAAAGAGGGTATTCCAAGTGGTTTCCCGTGGTTTTAGAGCGCATGGAAGCAACACTTCAGCTCGCCTTGGACATGGGACCGTGCGTCAGCAGAGAAATATCCGCTGCCGGAGGAAAAGCATCTTCCTGAAAGAGGAACAGCCCGTGTGCGGGAGCTTTTCACTTTTTGTTTTTAGCTACCGGGGAGGGGGAGCCGTGATTTTACGCGCCCGAATGATGCGTCCCAGCCGCGGCTTCATCCTGCTCCTCCTCAACGGAACCGCTTGTTTGGTAAGATAAGAGTGGGAGTGGGGAAAACTCGCACTGTAGTCTTCATTCGTCTTGCTCCAGCCTTCTATCACCGTTGTAACACCTACCTGCTTTATAATATAGGTCAAGGAGTCTGCACATTGCAGCAGTAAAACTTCCAAACTTATAACTAGACTAAATTTCTCTGGACAGACACTTGGGAGCGTGACTTACAGTCGAAACGATGCGTGTCAAGATAGTAAAATTACGTCTGTCGTTTGTGCTTCTTACAGAGATGCACAGATCGTTCCCTCTTGCTGTGCTCTGTCAGCGGCTTGTAGAGGCATTTCAGCTGGTGTATGTGTTATATTTGCCCTCACTTTAAGACCATTAAAACAATATCGCTAAGTTTGACCCCGCTCGGCTCAGGTCTGGAGGGTGCGCTGTCACTATTCCCAGGAGACACTCGCGTTGGCAGCTTTCTAAGCGCGCCCACGGCTATCACCACTTCTCTTTACTCTGTGCGTATTTGGAGCTAGACCTTAGTCTGTTTAACATATCAAAACACGTATGTAACCGCATGAAACGGAAAAAAATCACTTCAGTAATCACACACCTGTCATGAATCAATTAAACTACAGGCAGATGTAACCCTCATCTATTAAAGCTTGAAAGAGGCAAAAGACATTTTGGAAATCATTTACAAGCACTCACCAGTTTGCTATGTAACCTATAATTCGACAAAGCTTGTGTCTGACAAGCTGACAAAAGTGGGTTTACTGTCCAATAGTGCACACATCTGGCTCGAAGCAAAGACATGTACACACCACACATTTATTCCATTATGACAGTCATTTGCTACAAACACTTAACACTACAAGGTTGTAGGTGATGACCATGTGGTTCCAATGTGTGCAGTCCTACTGTGGAAGTCCTTATTGTGAGCACTCACCAATGTCATACATGAATAAAGACCAAATTTAGTGCTGTGAGAGGAGGTGCACCTTTCTTCAGAATAACCACACTCTGTTCTCTAACAGAGCTAACCAATATTAAATAAGGTGATATAAACATTTCCAGTGTCTATTTTACCTCCACTAAACTATAATACTCTCCTTAGAACCCCCACTGACATATAACACCAGATGAATAAACATGAATTGTTTCTTTAGTGTCAATGAAGGCTTCCAACATTATATAACCTCGCAGTCAAACTGGATCTCCCACTTCCCTTTCATGCACAGTGCACTGGCAGACTTATTAAAAAGCAGTCTTTAATGAGAAATCAGCTCTCGATTCACATGAGGAAATTTGAAAACATCCTTGTGCTCGGAAACCCCTGGGCTGAGCGCAGGGCCCAGGAAATGAGCAAGCTTCAAAAAACAAAAGTGCAGTGGAAATATTCAAGTGAGGCTCAGAGGCTGTTAGATGCATCTGTTTGTGTCGGCGCCTCTTCAAGTATGAGCTTGTGGTTTTCATATTAAAGTATTATTCAGGTGCTCAGAGCAAAGTAATGGCCCTCTTGGTGATATGAGGTCTAATAGACAGCGGTTGTAAACCAGTGAACACACACAGAGCTGTTTCAGCACTGAGAAAGAAGAGACCACATGCTGATTTAAAACATGGGGGATGAGTGCCTTTTCAGCTGCTGTATAACTAGATACAAGAGTGTGGGATAATAGGCTTAACACTCACTTCAGTGTTGTCTTGGTTCTTGGCATTTTGTGAGCTGCAGGGCTACAGCCTATTGTAACCCAGAAGGTCTGTGGCTAATGATAATGTAGTTAACTGAACCCCCCCCAACCCCCAGACCATGTATCTATGAAAAACGTACATGACACCCCACAGCGGGAGACCTTGGGTAATTCATTAGCCACATGACAATGATAAATTATGGAGCAATTAATAAATAAAGTAATTTTTTATTATGCAACAAAGCCATAATTAATAATCGTATAAGCCTATTATGTATTAAAAATTCAATTAGGATGATTCTTTGTTGTAATAGCGCCACAATTCTCAGAGAGGGTTTAGGTCTCGAGGGACGTTTTGCAAATGGCAGCGACTATAGACAACTGTTAACACAAGGTGCCACTCTGGTTGTTGTTTGTGTGACAAATGATGTGTTTTGAATGTTAATTATTCTCTGAATTTGAATGGAGGGTTATGAATAATATAAACCATCTGAGTTGTATAATTGACTGCTTGAGAAATTATGTTTGTTTTTGGCAGCGGCTGGAGTTATTCTTCATTTTTGACTCAAAGCGACTTTCAGCTGACTGGGTTCGTTTCATAAATGACTAATGTGCATTTATGAAGAGAATAAGCTGTGGAATATTTGGAAGGATAGGTTCCTATCCTTTTACAGCCCTTGTGGTTAGCGGTTGTTGGTTATTTTCAGTGAATCTCCTTTCGATTTTCTCAATTAATTGATGTATCGTTTTGTGTATAAAACATTAAAAAAGAGTGAAAAATGCTCATTGGCATTCAAACCTAATGCGATATAAATTGCTTTTTTTATTTGACCAACCTAAAGATATTCAGTCTACTGTAATGGAAGATAAGGAAAGCAGCCAAGTGTCACATTTAAAAAACTAGAACCATAGAATGTTTGGCATCTTTGCTTGAAAAATAAAGACTAATTGATTATCACAGTGGATTAACTGGTCATTTCAGCTCTATATGCGAAAGCCACAGAGCATATTCATCACTATGCTAAACCACACAGATGCAGCAGATGCAAGGTGAACTGAGTTCACCCTGCAAATCTTTCAAGATCATTTCACTTTTCATGAAAATAAGATTTTACATGTAGTCTCAATCAACACGTCTGAAGTTATTTTGAATAGGTAAAATATTTTAAAGTTAATTCCAGTTTTACTTACTCAGCTCTTAACAATGATAAACATAAATGTCTGCACTGTAATGCATGTGCACAGCTGCAGACAAGCTTACTTAATAAGGAATCCTCACCTTGCATGTGCTGAAACTGTCGTGTGATAAAGATAGGTGGGAATACAGGAGCACAGCTCTTTGTACATGCTCACATAGAGCTCAGAGTTGCTCTTTCATACAAGATTTTTCTTGTATGAAAGTGATGAGCCTCAAGTAGCCTTTCTGTGGCAATGAGAGACAGGACCTCCTTATACTCCCTCTGATTGCTTTCAGTACAGATGCAGACACTGGCCATTGTGCTTGATGAGTGAATTTCACCTCTGTAGCCGAACACAGAACAAATCTCAGTGAAGACATTCATGCATATTCCAAGATTTACGTGCCATGGTTTTCTGTGCATGTAGGTAATTTTAAAATATAAAGAAAACACAACACTTGTATGACTTCATGTTGACAAAATAGGATTTTGTGCCGCTAAAGTATGTTTTCCATTTCCAAACTTATTGCCAACCTCCATTTGACTTTGCCATCAGCAAAAGAACACGTACTTATTTAAAATGGCACGTCAATTAAAAGCTAATTATGCTCTTACACTGGAAGCTTCACAAAGCCCTAATCCTTTTCATAACAAAGGAGGGTTTGTGACTGGGTTGCATGCCATAGAAGACACACTAGGATCCTTACAAAGCAATAAACTCCAGAGACAACAAAAGGCATCATATCTAAGCAAAACTGCCTGCAGTTTGCCTGGAACATTTCAAGACAGCATGGTACAACAATACACAAATACATGCTATGCAAGCGTGGAGATTTATGTGTGAGGTTAAAAAGCAGAGGCTGTCTGGTGCTAATTCTAACCACATCAGAGTCCTCTCTTAGAGTCATGTTTAGACACCTATCCTCCTCGTAGGGTTGCTGGCCTTGTCTGTCCTGCTACATCCCCAGCTAAGCAGAAATACCACCATAATCCTGAGGAGACAAATAGAAAAATCTGGCTGTATCACACAGCATATATTCAACCATACAGAGGCAAATGTGAGACAGCAGCAGGTGAATACCAATTTTTCTTTTCTTTTCCTTTTCTTTTGTCTTCGTTGAGTCTTCCTTTTTGCTAGCCTGGTTGCAATCTGCATGCCAGAGCTCATAAGCCTCTACTCTACTCCTCTCATCCCACACAGGCACCAGAAACACACATCTCATTCATAATTGTCCAGTCTCTATCATAAGGGACATATCCACAGAGGAAACAGACAGAAACGGTTTAACGTCCTGCCCTGTGGGAGCAGAAGGATCAGAAGGGGGCGACTTCAGAGGAACACATAGCAGGATGTGGCATCTTCATTGTCAGTAGCACAAGAATATGAACATCCCCTTTTTGTGTAGGAGTCCGATCCCCGTCTGTCAAACTAATCGAACTTGAGATATGAACTAAATTAGCTAAGTAAGCTATTTAAATTAAGTTGAATAAACTTTAATTTGGGATAATTTTATTTGGCAAACCAAGTGTCTTAATTGCTTTGATAGGTAGATAATGTTCTTCTTCAGCCTGATTCATGCGAGTAGTGATACTGGGCGAGCAAAAACTGATAATGTATGAACATTTGTTAGAATTTGATAGAATCAGTGGTAAATGATTCCATCAGTTAATTGATAATGAAAATAGTCACTAGTAAACATTTTACAAGTTCTGTAGCTGTCAATAGTTTTGGATTCCACCAACTGTAGTGCTCAGTTTCTACATTATCATTTCAAAAATACCAGATTTAGACTGAATAATTCTCACTAATTTTGTAAAGTTTCTCAGAGCATTTATATTATCAGCTGCTAATAACCTTTTTATTGTGAATCTACATTTAACAGCTTGTTTGCAAAAATAATTGCAAGATTGTTTTGTACTCCTTAAATGTGTTCTTTTGAAGGGAAGTCACATTTGGCATCTTGGCTTTTTTTGAATTTGCCAGCACATCTTGTACAATTTTAGCCATTTTGATCTGGATTTTTTTCATTATCTTCTATTTTTATATAGCTCATATATAAATAACAAAACACTAAGTAATGATGAAAGCAATATATATATACACACACACACACACACACACACACACATATATATATATATATATACATAAGCATGAAGCAGTGGATGA